ACTGCTAGTCCAGTCAGCTTCTGTACATAGAATGAGGAGACTATTTTGCCCTTTGCCTTAGGCAGTAAAATGGCTTGGTTTGGCCCTGGGGAAGAATACAATAGGTACACTGAGATGTCCAATCTTTTTGTATCATTAGACAACACCTAGATGTTAGCAGATGTATCAGGGCTCATGACTACGACTTGCGAATGAGTAGGATAAAAGACTGTGTCACTAGTCCGGCACAGTAGTTTAGTAGTGACTACTACCCATCTTTTATAATCTGACTAATGCTTACAAAGGGACGACCTTCCCTTCCACAGGAACAAAGAAAAACAAAATGCAAAACAACTGAGCAATAGCAATAAAGATAAAAAAATCCTGGAGGGCCTGCAGTGCTGAGATTTCTGCCTTTGTAAAAGGCCCATCTGCCCTTGTTTTCGATGCAGGTTTGGAGTGCTGTCACACCTCGCCCTTACTGTAGTGCCCAAAGCGGCGGCGGCACCACACAGACAGAGGGGGCCTGGCAACTCGTAACATCTGGGATTGACTACTAGCAGGCACTGTATAGGGGGCTGCTCCTGAAGACCTGTCAGAGCCTTCAGTTGGTTCAAAGATAAAAATGCATCTGCTCGGCAGCGGAGTGGCATGGGTTATGTGAAACAATCTCATCCCAATTCTGAAATGGCGTCAATGAATTCCTGTGTGTTTTGAGTGCAATTCAGAGTGCTGGCGTTTACCTAGAGAGCCCTATATTTGGGAGAGAGATTTCTCAAGCCCTGTTTGTGCTTTGAATGTACAGTGGTACCTCGGGTTACATATGCTTCAGGTTACATACGCTTCAGGTTACAGACTCCCCTAACCCAGAAATATTACCTCAGGTTAAGAACTTTGCTTCAGGATCAGAAAAGAAATCACGCAGTGGCGGCACGGCAGCAGCAGGAGGTCCCATTAGCTAAAGTGGTGCTTCAGGTTAAGAACAGACCTCCAGAACAAATAAAGTACTTAACCCGAGGTACCACAGTATATGGTAGGATTCTTCACTGAGTGTTCCTGCTTGGGGAGTAACTGGAATGCTCCCTCCCTTCCTTCACAATGCCTGATGCCTACGGCCCTTAACTCTCAGGGACAGGTAAAAACTTTTTATCCAACCAGGCATTTTATAATCCTGTATACAGTTGTATCTTGGTTGTCGAACGCCCTGGAACTCAGACATTTTGGCTCCCAAACGCTGCAAACCCAGAAGTGATTGTTCCGGTTTGCAAATGTTCTTTTGGAACCCAAAAGTCCGGCGGGGCCAATCAGAAGCTGCGATTTGGTTTCCAAACGTTTTGGAAGTCGAACGGACTTCCAGAACAGATTCTGTTCGACTTCCAAGGTATGACTGTATTGCTGTTTTCAGTACTGGAACTTTACTGCAACTGTTTTACCTTCTCTGTGCAGTCTTTAGCTTTTGCAGTTATATATGTGTGCGTGGGGGGTATGGTTTCTACTGTCATTTTTTCAAAGCCACTTCAAACAATTCTGAAAAGGTGGCGTACAAATCTATTTAATAATAATACACAGCAACAGCACAGGTCTTTCCACTAGCCCTTTGAATGTAAAGTTGAGTTAAAGTTTTACAAGAGGGTTTGCTTCATGTATAAGCACAGAATCAAGTATTGAAAGTTTAAGGGACAAGTCACCTCCTATTCTGTGATAAATGATCAACCAGCAGATGGCAATGTCCATTCTCCAGTAGCTTTGGAATGCCCAAGTTCCTATAGTCTCTGCACCTTGACAGCCAAAGAAAGGTTTACTCTAGGCATCATCCCTGCCATTTCATCACAGCTAGCTCCTCAGACCATTGTTGGGGCAAACATAACCCATCAAGGGTAATTGTAAAGGTATTCGTCTGGACAGGTACTTTGTGCTCTGAGAATGCAGGGTTGCTGACTGGGAAGGGGAAAGGTATTTTATGTATTACGTTTATATTTCAATGCAAAACCTTTAGAATGGCCTCAGTGTAAAGTGGGACATATCCAAAGTATTCTGCAAATGGTCCTTGCTCTGTATTGTCCTGCCGCAGGGATGATGAAAAGGTTCAGAAAATGTTTTAGCTATCTGGCCAAGAAGTTTGATCTTATGCTGGTGGAACTTTTTCCTGCTTCTTTGCAGAGAAATTATTTGTATTGGCAATTTATATACTGCTTAACTACAGTTGTCACTAAGTGGTGTACTCAGTAGAGACAAAAAATAAATTAAAACCTTAAAATCACAATACAGTTAAAATGCCTACTGGAATAAAAAAGTAGGCACTTGAAGTTCAACAGCATGGGGCCCATAATACCTGAATGCACAGCTCCTAATGGGTACCAGTTGTGCATTTGAGCCATCAGAGACCACTAACAATGACTCCTCCAGAGACCTTAATGACCAGGCAGAATAACATATCAAAGGGGAGAGGTAAACTTTACAGTTTACCAGGATGGTTTGAACACATTACAATTGAAATTTATGAAGTCTCTATGGCCATTCCTTAAACGGTGGATGAGTTATAGTAAGGGTAGCACTGCAAACATGCCCCTGTAAAATTTAAGAGGTCTTTTACTGAATCTTGTGAATCATTGTTCTTGCTGTATCAGAGTTGTCACAGTCATGTAACTGTGGACTTAGGAAAAGGCTTAAAGGCAATCTATACCGTCTGACAGCTCATCTATACCACCAAGCATCCTCAAAATTTAACAATTCTAATTACTCACTTTGGTTAGTTCACTGCAATGTGTAACCTTCCAGATAAAACTGTATTGACCACCTGATAGAAACTATAGTGAAGAACTTCTATCCTGGGATACAAAGACAAAACAGCTTTCTCTAGGAGCCAAAGTGCAGTGGCATACATATGCTGTCTGCAAAAAATCTACCGTTGGCACCTTCACTTACAAGAACCTGAACTAGCACAGGTGAGAAAGTTACTGCCAGAAACCCTAGAAAGCTGTTGCCAGTCAGTGTAGACTGGGCTTGATGGATCAATGGTCTGATTCAGTAAAAAGCAGCTTCCTATATTCATTCACAACACTCCTAGGAACATGATGATGGCTGAATTTAGCAAACTGTCACGTGTTCATGTGATGCCTTCTTTGGCCAAATGATACAAAAATGAGAGTGTTCACTCACTCAACTCGTTAAAAACTTCCACAGTGAAATAGTTGAAAGATGGCATTGTTGTGCACTGCAAGTTCTCCATGCACCCAGATAGAGGCAGGCATCACTGTTTGCTCAAGAATCCATAAGAAATGGACCACAACTTATTTGGAAGCTGTTTTTCAGCTGAAGTTCTCAGAAAGGCTTATAAAGTAAATTTTAAAATCAGCATTAATGAGAAGTTATTTTTTAAAAAATGCAGCAAGAAGTTAAAAAACAGAAAGTCTTGGTTAAAGGTTTTTCATGTGGCACCATGAAAAACAAAGATGGCGCTAGGCAAACCTCTCTGGGAAAGTAATTCCAAGGCAAGGTACCAGAACTGAAAAGGACTTGTCTTTGATCAACAGCCACTTTACTTAAGATAGTGGAGGGACTTTGAATAAGTACTCTGAGACCCACCTTAAAAGTCCAGGCAGATTTAAGGAGGAGCAGATAGTCCTTTAGGAATCTGGAAGGTTTCTGGAAACAGCTGCCAAGACTGTATGCCTCAATAAAGGTAAAGGTACCCCTGCCCGTACGGGCCAGTCTTGCCAGACTCTAGGGTTGTGCGCTCATCTCACTCAAGAGGCCGGGGGCCAGCGCTGTCCGGAGACACTTCCGGGTCACGTGGCCAGCGTGACAAGCTGCATCTGGCGAGCCAGAGCCGCACACGGAAACACCGTTTACCTTCCCGCTAGTAAGCGGTCCCTGTTTATCTACTTGCACCCGGGGGTGCTTTCAAACTGCTAGGTTGGCAGGCGCTGGGACCGAACAACGGGAGCGCACCCCGCCGCGGGGATTCGAACTGCCGACCTTTCGATCAGCAAGCCCTAGGCGCTGAGGCTTTTACCCACAGCGCCACCCGCGTCCCAATAAGCGGGTGGCTTATTGTATGCCTCAATAAGCCCTCCCAAATTCACCTTGTTAGCATCAGTGAAATATTTCATTACTCTGAGCAGTACCTGCCAACCTAGCAGTGTGAAAGCACACTAGTGCAAGTAGATAAATAGGCATCGCTGTGGCGGGAAGGTAAACGGCATTTCCGTGAACTCTGGTTTCTGTCACGGTGTTCTGTTGTGCCAGAAGCGGTTCAGTCATGCTGGTAACATGACCTGGAAAGCTGTCTGTGCACAAATGCCGGCTCCCTCAGTCTGAAAAACAAGATGAGTGTCAAAACCCCATAGTCACTTTTGACTGGACTTAATTGTCCAGGGGTCCTTTACTTTTTAAAATCAGTATCTACCTGTGTGTGCAATGGAAATCCACTTGGGCAACAGGATTTCTGTTTTCCCCCCTCTCCAGCCTCTCATATCCCACCCCCCCAAAAAAATCTGCTCTGCTGGGTCATCCAATCCTTCAGGGTATATTTTTGGGTGTGCAGATGGCTGCAGTGGGGAGCAGAGAATGGGGAAGACTCAGTGATTATGCCATGTTGGACCACACCCTATTTCTACCGAATAGAGAAATCAGCTAGTAGACCGTTATTTTACTAGGTGGGCAATTGCTTCTTCTTCCTTCACAACTACATCCAATTGTGTGAAATTAAGACAGACGCTTTGTTGTTTCGGGTAACTGAACGCTTCTCAACAATAGCGATAAAACAGATCCTTTGTTTTTGTCATCCAGGGTTTCACCTTGGTAGGCAAAATTAAAAACGTCTTCGTGTAAAGTCTATTATTAAACTAATCAGCATCCAACAATATAAAAAAGATAGAGCATATGGAAAAATAGCTGACATCAGAGCAGGATAGACAGGATTAGATCTTGCATGATTTCAAGTACAAATAGATCCCTCTGGGACTTAGTGGATTAATATTTTCTCTCTCTCAGACACTGCTCGGAATTAATGAGGGTACCTGCAACAATGCTGGCAAGCTGCTGAGTCCTGGTGATGGGGTAGATGCTGCGTGCCTGAACAACTGCTGAAGCTATTTTCTTGGCGTGCCTCTCCTCCCCGTATGTTCTCAGGATGGACGCAAGTGCCTGTTGATCTAAAGCATTCACAACATCAGCAGCGGTGGGCATGTCAGGATACCTACGCACAAGAACAGCCAATTAGTTCACTGACGTCAGCTTTCATTGACAAGGGGTGAAGCTTCACAGCATTGAGACATAAAGTCAAACACACATTCACTGCATGCAAGTGCTTCTGAGATTTCTCAATAAGAGGCAGAGATCATTTTAAAGCAGAAATAGCTCCTATCTTGTAAATCACCTCTTATTAATTCACATGGAGGCTTTCTCCCTCCAACCCTACCTCCTAACATTAATTAGCTATAAAGAGTAGTTGAGATGCCTTTTATCATAAACTTTAACATTATAGCAGTAGCTCAAATAAAATTCGAAAGACAAAACACTGCTAAGGCTGCCTTGGCTTGTATAATGCCAGGAGATGAACTCATTTTATAAGCAGATATTTTTCCAAGACATCACATTGCTTGATCTATTTCCTGATAAAAAAAAGAGAACCTTAATCTCTGTGACCTTTTCCCTCACATCTGGTGTTATGAAAAATGATCTTCTGTGAGGTATTTAACGATCACTTAAAGGTCTCTCAATTCAGAAATGGTCTCTCTTTTAGAAGAAAGGTAGTAGAAACGATCAGCCTGGATAACACTCCCAGAACATAAGGGAGAAACCAGCATTTCTTTCATTTGCCTTTTTGGAATGATGTGAGGGATTTTATGTATCAGCAGCAGCAGAGACTGATTCAGAGTCCTGTGTGCTCATCACAGGCAAGGGATTTTGTTATAAACATTAGACCACCCAAATCCACAAGAAACAGTACAATCAGGTTGTACAATAGTACAAACTTAGGCGAGATTTATTGACCTGAACCAATGTGACAATTTAGACACCAGATAAAAGTTGTGAGGCAAAGAAGTTTGTGTGTTTTAAGATTTCCCCCCAGGAAAATGCAGGGGGCGGGGAGGATCTTCAGAATTATAGATCTCCCAGAAACTGCAAAGTAGGAGACCATTGAATCAAAATTATTATTTGTATTGCTTCTTTATTTGGATTATTTCATTTTACCCCATTAAAAAAACAACCAACCACACACACACTGTTATGAAATTTCAACAGGACTAAAGCATATTTCTTTCTTTCTTTTGGCGGTCAGGGGTTGATTGTGCTTTGAGTGACAGGAAATCTGTCAAGCCCCTTAGCAATCTCATTTAATGGTTAATCATTCTTAAGAGAAATATACATGACTGATTTCAAGTGTAATTTATACGGATCTTGGCTTAGGTTATGCTTTTCCTGGCTATATTAATTTGCATTTGTAATACCACAAACACTCTGCTGATTTTTATATACAGAGCTTCTGGAAATATTTTTTGACTAAAATCTTTAAAAGTGGTCTCTAATGTATTCATTCATTCTATCTGCTCTATCAAACTGTGCATCAGACACCAAAGTTCTGCCAGTACTGAAGCCATCGGAATTGTACTAGCTCATTGCCATTGTAAACTATAGATGTTCCACTTGGCTCATCTAACAGTAGGCTCAATGCAATACTGATTCTCGAATACTTTTTAATGAAGTGTATTTATTGTTGAAGACACTTGGCAGGTTATACACAGCTGCTATACATTCAGTAAAATGTACAGCCACACAACGTAATACTCCAGTCTTCCACACTGACACTAGTAGGCAACAGTTATCTATGTGGGGCCATTTCAAAATGGGCAATGCCTTGAAGTCAGTTTTAATTCAGAAGCTTAAGGAGTTTTGTTTTATTGTTTACAATTCCAAGAAACCACCTGGAAGAAAGCATAATTGATCTAATCAAAAGGAAAGGAAAGATGCTTATATAGGAATTGCCTCATTGCGTCATACTCCCAGCGAATCTTTTACATACATTTCAGTCTGTGTTCCATATGGTTTTGCTGTTGCTGTCATCAACCATAGTTTCTATTTTAAATGCCAGACTTAAAATCCACGCGTTTGCAAAACATTTGTAACAAGCCAATAAGCAAAACAAACACTGGCACTAAGGCCTACACACTGAACATTAGGAAAAGTATTCTGCCATGGGGGGTGGGGAGATGATTTCTACGGTGTAATATGCAGAGGTAAATATGGGGATTTGATCACAGCTCTGCAACATGAAAAGGAAATTAAATTCAGCATGCTAGTGAAAAATTGATTTCTTGTTGAAGAAAGAAATGTTTTATCAATTATGTACCTGCCACCATCCATTCTCATGTCCAAAGGACCATCTTTTCTTAGGGAAAAACCTCTTTCTGGAGTATCAAGTTGCATCGAAGAGCAACCAGCATCCAAAAGAACTCCATCCAGACTCCCTGGCTGCACTCCAGCCAGGTTAACAAAGGCTTCTGCTTGACTAAAACTGTCCAAGAAGAGCTTGGATTTGTTGCCTGCAAGAAAAAGAAGAAGGAGAAAATAATATATATATATAGTTAGCAGAAGGATAGCAATGTTTAACTTAATTTCCTCCTGGACCCCTATGCATATAATCAGCAACTCCTTCATTCGAAGTCAGCAGCATGTGACTGGGATGTCTATTCTCATTGCAATCTGGTATGCTTACTTTGGATAAGAACCTAACAGAAGTTCAAAAACTGTTTAAAGTCTTTTGTTCTACCAATGAAAAAATTAAAATGCAACACTAGTGCCCTATGATATAAAAACATGGGTTATGCAAAACTAAGGCCTGGGGGCCGGATCCGGCCCAATCGCCTTCTAAATCCAGCCCGCGGACGGTCTGGGAATCAGCATGTTTTTACATGAGTAGAATGTGTGCTTTTATTTAAAATGCATCTCTGGGTTATTTGTGGGGCATAGGAATTCATTCATTTTTCTCTCTCTTCAAAATATAGTCCGTCCGCCCCCCAAGGTCTGAGGGACAGTGGACTGGCCCCCCTAATATTAGATAGTCCCATGGCCTGCAAGAAGATCAAACCTATCCATTCTTAAGGAAATCAGCCCTGAGTGTTCACTGGAAGGACAGATCATGAAGCTGAGGCTCCAATACTTTAGCCACCTCATGAGAAGAGAAGACTCCCTGGAAAAGACCCTGATGTTGCGAAAGATGGAGGGCACAAGGAGAAGGGGACGGCAAAGGACAAGATGGTTGGATAGTGTTCTTGAAGCTACCAGCATGTGTTTGACCAAACTGCGGGAGGCAGTGGAAGACAGAAGTGCCTGGCATGCTCTGGTCCATGGGGTCACGAAGAGTCAGACACGACTAAACAACAACAATATAAAATAAGACCACAGATGGCTGCTTTATGTGTCAAAATAGATGGGTGTGTAACTTTTTTTTAGTTCTAAAAAAGGAAATTAAACTCAGAGTTGCTGTTTGATATCTTAAACCCACCCTGTTGCTTTATTCAAAGCACAGCTCTTGCAACATCAAGAGAAACAGTGATTGTCCCAAGCGAGCACATTGCTTCCTCAACTTGGTGCACACATTTTGTCAAGATCACCAAGGTGAATGAAATAACTCCCAGAGGTACACAATGAACCTAACCACCAAAGGTCTACTCATAAATTAACAGCCTTGCTACTGCTGCCAGATCAAACCTGAATGAGACTACGTGGTAGGCATTTTTCAACCCAATTAATTGAGAAGTTGGGTGTGTGGGAAGGAAATTGGATTGAATGATGTGGTGTTCAGGGGCCTGTCAGAATGTGTCAGGGGGTTACAAGTGTCAATTAGGGATGGACAAGCTAGTGAAAGGTATGTCCAACAGAAATAGAGCACAACTTTTCATTCTCAAGGTGTCTTGTTATCATTTCCCATTTATTTAGTTTAAAAAGACTATGTTCCACCCCACACAGAGGAAAACTAGACTGATCTGTGTCTGGTTAAGAAAATCTGATGACATCTAAGCTCTGAAAAAAGTAAAATGGATGTGCAGCAATTCAAGGTCCTTAGCACATTATTATTTTTCCATAATTCACCCCTTTCCCCAGAAGACTCATAAAATCCTTGAGTAGTAGTATTTCTACTTTTCAATTGGGAAACTGTATGAGACAAAGGATGCAATTTTAAGTGAGCTGTCCAAGGATGAATAGTAATGATGATAAAATTGGATTGGCATTTAGGAAATTCACAACCCAAGGGTTTATAACTTCAAACATTGACTTTATCATAACCATCTTAGATATCCACACACACACACACACAATTTTTTTGTCCCTCACCACTTTCCCCCTCCATTTTGCATAGCATCCACACTTGAATGGCCTTCTAACTACTATCTGAAATATTCAACTGATTCTTTTGCATTCCTTTCCTTTGTTCCTAATTCCTTTGCATTAGGGCTTCTTCATTTTAAAGAAATATTTTAAACAAATTGCTGTTAAAATGTCAGTTGCTCCCGCTTTAACTGCCTGTTGTGTAAAAGCCACAGAAATAAAGTGGGGACGGGGACAAGTCTTTGCACCTACAATCACTTTCACAGCTATTGTTCGGCAGTTCATAGCAAGGGTAGGTAATTCCCAAATCACAGCATTCTATTCATGTCACTTGCTGCTTAATCTTAGCAGTTAACTGCCGGCTGCCAACACTAGCAACCCAAAGTGTTTCGCTTAATGTAAGGAACATGCCAAAAGTCAATGCTTTCAAAAAGAAGCTTATTTCCAAACTTATTTCCAAACAGAAAGGTCTATTTACAGATTCAGCTTTTTTCCGTGAGATAGTTAACATGTATGCGTACAAGTGACAATTTGCATGGACACTCGCTTGGAAAGGGGCTCAGTCAGCTCAAAAGCTAGCAATTCAGGATGGGGTTGAACAGGGCTAAAACTTCTACAGCCATTGACTTTCTGACACAGCAGCTCCAATTATTATTTTTATTGAATAAAGACCAAGCCCTTGGGGGGGCAGGGAATGTTTTTAAAAATGGGAGGAGAAACTGGCACAGAAAGAAAGCTAAGAGTACATGGTTTGGGGTTTTTTTGGGGGAGGGAGAGTCCCATCGACTGCAAGAAGATCAAACCTATCCATTCTTAAGGAAATCAGCCCGGAGTGCTCACTGGCTAACACCATCGCCCCTTTCTCCCCTTCTCCTGTCTGTCTCCCTCACAGGTGAAGTTTAGATTCATCAGGAAAGAGGCGTCTATTTTGTATATGTGACTCTGTGAAGAACCATGTACACAAATATATAAATAAGTCGGTTGGGAGGTGTGCCCACAAAGAGCAGAGACGATCATTTACTACCTTGTCGGTGATTGTGTGCAGCCCAGCAGGACGTGGGAGGGCAATCCCTCCCTCCTTTGAGGCTGGCCATGAAGAAACCTGGGATTGCCTGCCAAAATCTCCAGTTTACAAACCTAGAAGTGGATGGAAAGAGTATATCTAAACCCAATGAGATTAGAAACTGTTTTTTTGAGTTACTTCAAAAAATTATATTCACAAGGACCACAGAAGGAGGAGGACATAGATGATC